GTTATTTTTAAATAATGAATTCATACATGCACCTTGCTGTAGCTTACATCTATTTTGTGTATCGTGCTAAGGTAATATATTAAAACATCCATGAAGACATGCCATATAGGGAGCAAAGACAGCTTTCTAAGAGATAAAATACTGGTGAGTGTCTGGGGACTTATCTCTATTGGTAATGTTTCCCTAATGTAATGGCATTCAGTTATTTGTGTCATATGCCAGCTTACTACTAATCATTACAGAAAGTCTCCTGAAGGAGGTCTAAGTTTATATTGTGATGCTGTCATTTACAAGCTATTTTAGACTAGCTTTTATATATGAGAGTCTGCTTCACAGTTTTTGGAACAGGTGATCCTTTAACATGTGCAATTTTTTTTTTCTTTAGCAGCCTTTAATATATGGGTACAAGTATTACCTTTTATTAGAGGTAACACAGAAGATGATGCCTGTACTTAAGGCTGACTAACAATTTCCACAATAAACTTCTTGCTTATTATATTATTAGACTTGAACTGCTCAGGATGAATTTCTCATGCCAGATAGCTGCCTCGGGTTGCGCATTTTGGGAAAATCTCAAATACAAAAGGTACAGCCATTTCCAGGAAAGAAGTTAATAAAAAATATATTGTTTTGCACACCAAAAGTTTCACCGGTACAGAATGTCCTATGGCTACTGAATACAGCAACATGGAAATCAAGAAAAACTACGCGGAATAACACAAGTACAATCATTCTGGGTAATGTAGATGTCTTTGGTGACACCGTAGCATGTCTTGGAGATCTGGTCTTCCAGTTTTCTGAACATGGGATCTCTTTGGAGTGAAATATGGTTCCCATCTGGCTCACAGGTTTGGTTTCCTTTTTTTCAGGAGCAAGGATTGTGAGACCAAAGGGGCTGGGAAGCAGCAGGAGAAGGCTGCTCTACGAGGGCAGGAGAGTAGGAGCTGAGGAGGGTGCCCGTCCCACCATGCCTGGGCCCTGGCCTAACCCCAAAGTGGAGATGGACAATGACCCCCAAGTAGACCTGGAGGTCTGGAAACCTTCCAGTTCAGATGTCCCCACAGGTGTCCTCCTGGAGCTCCATATGTCAGTGCAGCTGCACCTAGACCTCCCTCACTGCCAGGGGCTGCACAGCACCGAGGTTGCCTCACACCACTCCATTCACCCTCACATGTCCCAAGTACCAAACACAACGTCCGCCAGCACAAGCCATTTCCTCCATCAGCATTAGACCCTGAGTTTAGCTATCTACAGCTATCTAGTCTGCTGGCCCCAATAGCCAAGAAATATAGAATATCATAGTTTCATACTTTAGTAAATACTACGAATTCTACTCACAAAAAAATGTGTGTTTTCTCACCTAGAGGTGAGACGCAAAACTTGCTGAGGAAGCTGGAAGGCATATAAAAATGAAGCCAGGATTGCAGAAAAGAAAAAGATTGTCTTACGGGTAAGGCACATAAACGTCCCATTGAAAAACTGGATTCTAACTTTTGCTCCTATGTACATGCTGGTATTGGACTAGGCAAGTCACTTAAACTTTTTTCAATTAAATGCTGAATGTGATCTTCATTTTCCTTGAAACCTACTTGAGAGCTTTCAAATTTGCAGAAGTGTTAGGTCTCACAAACATAGCAGTGGCTGATTGAGACTCTGTAAATAACATGCTATAAAAGCATATAAAGTGCTGTAGAACACTAAGTGCCCTGGAAAATTGGGATCTAAGCATCTCGTTCTGGGGACCCAAAATTAATGGACACTTGACTTCTTGATCTAAAGTCTCTGTGATTTAGTTTCCTTTCTGTAAAAAGGATAAAAAATAATACCACTCTTTACAAGTATTTGTAAAGCTTAATTAGTTTAGATTTGTGGAGCACTCTGATCCTATAGTGATGAATGTTTTAAAGAAGTACATGAGGAAATTAACAATTTTCTACTCAATGCTGGATTAAGTGACAGGCTGCAGATCAGGCTAGGTATCACACAATGCTTGCAGATACAAAGATATATACAGTCCATCCTGAATGAAGAACAGACTGAGCCTCATGGAAAGTTGATGAGGCAATTCTCTCAAAAGAGAATTGCAGAACTTTATGCATAATAATGCAGATCAAGGTTTTCTCTATCTGTGAAATCCCTTGCATTTTCTCAGAGAGGAAGAAGATATGCATATTTTGTGAGAGGGAAAGGGCTGCAGCAGTAAGTCGTGGTTTAGCAGCATCTTTAGGTCTTCTTTTTGGTTAGCCCACCAGCAAGTGATATCCAAAACTATACTGCATATAGTGCCCTCAGAGATAAGACTGACAAGAAGTCCTAGAAGAAGGCAGAGGTCACCAGGCAGTCCAGTAAGTGAGAGAGAGGCTTAGCTACGGGAAAAACGGGACCCAACTGGTTAAGTCTCATTCTCAATATGAAAGTCTAAATTTAGAGATGCCTAAAAAATCTGGTCAGGCGTACCTGCTATTTATAGTTCGCTGTTACTCACATGACTCCCATGTTTATCCATTTCAGATTTACTCTCATCATACCATTGAGCACAGCTTTACCTGAATCAGTTCATTGGTAATGTTGATTACAATGGTGCTTTAGTTTGCTAACCTCAGTCTGCTTATTAGGGTTATATTTTGAAACTCCAGGCCTTGATACAGAAAATTATTCAAAGTGAGCTTAATTTTTAGCACGTTTCTATTAAGCAAAGTAAGTTAATGAAGGTTAAGCAAGCACTTAATATTAAGCCTATCTTTAAATGTCTTGCTGAATCAGATCCTCCGAGGTGATATCAAATGACTGTCCCAGGTTACCTAAGGTATTAAAAGTGTCTCCCTTATTGTTGCTTGCTAATCTTTTTAATGTTTTGTTTGCTCTCTTTTCCTTTGCTAAGCTTCATACCCTGGAGCTTGTGCTGTTTTTCTATATCATGACTGGTTCATTGTTTATTTAGCTAGGCTATTGTCTAAGCTATATTAAAATTGTCCTCAGAGACGGTGTGACACCCATAATGCATGTATCCTTATTACAGCTAGAGGCACAGCACAAAAGCACTACTAATTTATTATAGCAGACAGTATAACCATTGAGCCCAGTTCAACCTTGACCAGAGGACCCAGGTGGCTTAGCCATGCAAAATATGACTCATTTGTATCTACCTATTTTGTATTCACAGCTGATAGATAGCTATTGAGAATATATGGCTATATGGATATAATAGTTATAGGTAGAAATGGATGAAGTGTCTTTAAATAGGGGATTAACTTTGATAGTCTATGTTCTCCCTTAGGATCAGGTTTTCACATGACTATTGTAGTCATTGGCTGATGTGGGAAAAAGCACAAAGGTGAGCATGCGATGAGGAGAATGAAGGAATAGCTTTAAAGCAGTAAAATAGGGAAGGATACAAATCTTCTGAAATGGGTGGGACAAATTATTTACCTCTTGTTTGCCATCAGTGATGGCCATAAGCAAAATCACTGAGAGTTTTGTCACCGATTTATTGGGACCAGAATTTCATTTGATCAGATCAGTATCTGGAAGATGAACTTTGACTCTTACCAGCGTAACAGCTGGTATAATTTGCCCCGCTGACAGTTTCAAATTCAGTCACTGCTTCTCCGCCTGCCACCTCTATTCTGATATTCACCTGCATTCAAATCTTGCCCAAGGAGAGAAAATAAGGAAGCTAACAGTACAGGGATCAGGCCAGGATTCAAGAAAGATCGCCTCCAGGGAGAAAGAAGTGAAGATGCAACAGTTACATAAAACAGTTGGCACCAGAAGCAGAGAGAACCCTGAAGAGTGAGGGAGCTGCTGAATGCCAAGTTATGCGTGGAAGGAGTACTAAATCCTCAGCCACACAGTGTTTTTTTCAGCAGTCCTCTCTCCTGCCTCTGGACAGCAAGTTCAAAGCCTGGAAAGCTGGCAGATAAGAGGACTAGAATCTGCAGGTGTAATGAGTGCCTCTCCAGATATTAGTGTGGGGGGGAAAAAAAACCAAAGTGTTTCACCTTACTGCAAAACCATTTTAGTCTTCTATTAAAATGAAGAAAGAAATATCCTAAAAGAATTACATTTCCAGAGTGGGGAGAAGTGGCAGCTTTCATGTTAAAGGGTCCATGACATATGAAGAGAGTTAACCAAAGTTTTATGCACTAAGCGTGAAATAGGAAACGCAGTGCTCACAGTCACTGGTTAAGATCCTCTTATCTCACTGTAAAAAGGAACTGAATTTTATATGTTTCTGTTGCTGGCAAGGCAGCCTACTATGTTTATCAGAAACACAGAGGAAAGTCTAGTTAGAGATTCCTCCCCACCCTTGGCTTCTATGCAACAACTGTAGCTGATTAATCCAAGTCAACAGAAAAGTCAGCCAGCAGTATAGATTAAATGAGTGGATTTTGGTGTTCATTCCTCTCCCACCTCCTCACTTCTTACGGAGTTCTGGTATTGCAGAAGTGGGGGATACTGGTACATTTTCTTGTACTATACATCACAGACTTGTGCAGTTGCTGCTGCCATGAAGTTAAGCATGCTATTTTGCAAAGATAGACACAGATTAAATCAATCTAGTTAGGGGGTTGCATTTGTTTTTACAAAGAAGCACAGTGGCACTTTTAAGACGAGATCAAACTTTACCCTTTCTAAATGCTTTAACCACAGCCGACTCACTTAAAATTGGGGCAGGTTAAAGCAGCAAATGGATCACAATTTCAGGCTGGCCTTTGTCTTAGCCTTCTCAGAAACCCCTGGTAAACCTGTTCGCTTCCCTGTGGCAAGGTCGTGACAAGCTTGTTTCTCTTTCTTCCAGTAAGCTTGTTTCAAACTTATTTTTATCTTTGCTTTAAGCTTGTAATCCTCCTTTCCCTTCTCATCTTGAATCAGATATAAGTCCTCAGATACAGTGGAACCAAACTTTCGATGTCTAGTGCCCCTCTGCAAACCCTTTACAAAGGGTTTGTCTTTACAATTAAAGTCAGTCAAGTTAGAAAGCTGCAGAACAGGCTTACCTTCAGATTTTGGTCTTTTAGAAGTGATTGAATGATATGAACCTTTTCCAATAATCCTTTGAATACAGTTCCTAAAACAGCCAGGCAAACAGCAAACTTCAGGTAAATCCGAACAACAAATAAGCTGATATCTAGACCAGCAGTGACCACTGCTAATTCAGGAAGCTCTTTGACCTTCTGGTTCAAAGTGCTACTACTGTGAAGTATCTTTTATGGCTGAAAGAGCACATGTTAGAACAAAGAGCAGAAGGAAGGCTTTTAATATGGTTTAGTTCACCTGGGATGCAGGGCCCAGATGTAAGAATTCTAACTGAGAGCAATAAAAGGGGAATGAAACAGCTAGCTACAGTAGGAGGAAATTTGTGTACAAAAACATTGCTTTAAAAAAAGAAATCAGTAACAAGATCAACAGATAGACCAAGAAGATTCGAATAAAATAACAAAGTGCAGAAATTCTGGCATCGCTTCTCCAGCCTGCTGCTCCCTACTTTTTCGGAGGCATGTAAAAATCTAACTCCTAATCGGAGAGTTAAGCAACTAAACATTTCTGGGGGTCGTGAGCACAAGCATGAAATAGGTGCTAAGCACATCACTTCTTACAGAAGTAAGTAAGTGAGCACCTTGTGAAACCAGGCCTTAAATCCTTAACTTGCATCTCCATGAAGTGCTAACTGGAGGCCATACAGGGCGCTCTGTAGCAATAGTTTAGGTCTGTTTACATTTCATAAGTAGCCAATTAGACACTTGTTGCAGCATCAAAAACACAAAAAATGAGTTTGGGTATGATGAGAGAGTCAGCGGGTGCTTGGATTTTATAGACTGGACCTGATCTGTACCACAGTTACAACAGAAAAGCAATTTAAAAAAATGCACTCAGATTTGAGGAAAAGAAGAGCATAGTTTTTTTTTTTTTCCTTTCTGCCTTAATATTTAATCTGTAGCTAGATTATCATATATGTATGAAAGTGAGGAATGAGGCATCCACCATCTACTTTTATAGGTCTTTATGTCTATAGACTAGACAGCTACTTGGCAATCTGCCCTTTTCAGTGAGAGGGCAATGGGACAGGATACGTGCACAAGACCGCCCAAAGGGGACAGGAATCACAATCCCTTGCATGATGGAAAACGAAGGGAACAAACTGAAGATTAGCCTTTCCCCCTTGCACAGTAGGAGCTGAGGAGGGGCACACTCAGACATACTGAGATGGGAGGGGATTTAAACTGTGCTGGCCAAAACTTTTGGAACAGGTCACTTCCTTGCTGTTTTCTCTCCCCTATGTCTCCCTCCCCCTGCCAAACAAACTGGGAAGTCTTCAGTCATATTGCAATTAATAAGTCTTATGCCCCAGTCAAGCAGGGCAGACTATGCTTTCACAGTTTATAGATAAGAAGGTTTGTTGAACACTACAGCAGCCTCTGGAATAGCACAACGCTGTGCACTATTCACGTTGAACAGAATTTCACATTTCTTGTTTGCAGAAAGAGACTGGAAGCGACACAAGACTGAAGGAGAAATTTGTACAACTTGCTAGAGACATTGGTGTTTCTTGAAGTAGAGCAATATCTACATATCAAAAGAACACACTTCACACATGGAAACATGACTTTGTTTAAAAACAAACAAACAAACAGAAATATACCTAACAAATATTTTGGAAAATGAAAGCTTGTAGACCACACTCCAAAAAGAGGTATTTGCAGAAGTACCTGCTGTTAATTTAACCTGACAAATTGATCCTTATATATACATTGAAATTACATACAGAATCAAAAAATATATCTTTTACATATGTTATTGTGGGGCAGTTTACTTGTGATGATAGCACAAGTATTAGTAGATCTTCTGTTTATACAGCTTGATGTAAGAACTGTAATATTTTAGGGTAAAAGTGTGCTGGAAAAGTAAGGACTTCTTTTTTTCCCTTCACCTTAAATTGCATTTTAAATCAGCTTCAGTGGTTTTATGCTTCATAGCATCCTGAAGAAGTTTATTAGTACCTAGTAAGCTCACACTGTTATCTCTTAGTGTTCTATTTCTATAAGAAATACAAGAGATCTAGAAATCTCAGCATGTGGTTGTAGAGGCCAGAAAGTTCTCCTTTCATGGACTGACAAGAGACATTGCCTGCTTGATGTTTATACTGACTGTGGAGCTTTGTGAATTATATTTATTTAATTGATTTCTTTTTTTATTTGTTTGATTTCTGAGACACTCTACCATCCAGATTTGCTGCTCTTTTATATCTCTGAGTCTGTTATTGTCTGTATCCCAAATCACCTCCTCTTTTTTGTTTTTCTGTTTTATTGTTGTCGTTTTCAAGTTGGCAGTCTTAACTATAGAGTATTAACAAAGAAAACAGATGTAGCCATTATTTTTTCACAGTTGCTCTATAGCCAAAAGGTATCAAGGATATTTTCACCCTGAAATATATTTACCCATTTATATTTTAAACAAAACAAAAAGGATATTTAAGAAGTCCTCATCCTTGGGTTACTTTGGTTTAATGGGTAAATGTATTTTTTATGGTATATGTTAACTGTCATGCCACCCATTGACACAGCCATATAAGAAATGTCAGCTGTGATCCTGTCCTAAGAAAATACCAGATTTTTCCTGTTTTCCTTAACAGTAACATCATAATTTGACAGACTTCCAGTAAATTCTGCTAGCTGTGGATCAGGTCTTAAGTTCTTAAAGTCTGTGATTCTTGCACCCTGCAAAGCACAGAGCCGGCTCTCTAGTTACATCCTTTGGGTAGAAGATGACTAAAAAGAAATAGGAATTGTGGTCCGATTGCTGTCTGATCCTGACTAGTAGAGTTCCCAGGCTCAGAGGGATAAAGAGAAAGCAGGCAGCACTTCACGGAGGTTTCCTCTTAGGGCTTTGACTAGAGCTGTGACTAAGGCAACTCTTCCTATTATTCCCACTTTGGGACTTTGACTGGGACAAGAAGTCACAGATGCACTTGGTGGGACTACAATTTTATTCCATGCTCCACTGATTTTTGTGATGGTATGCTAATGTTTGCAGGGTGAATTGGGCCCCTTCTTGCCTCTATCACAGTATGTAGAAATGAGAAATATCAAAGCATACCATTTTTACTGATTCTGAGCAAATGTCACACCTGATATTATTTTAATTGGAATTATAAGCAACATTGTTTAGTATTTGTCAAACTTGCTGAACTTTTGTTTGGAGAAATACCACACTGTCCTTATTTTTGATCACTGTTGGTTCCTTTGGTTATATTTCTTCCTGTGTACAAGGTTACAGAACTTCCTTCTGTACCTTCAAATATCAAGTGACAGCAGATTCCCGCATCATCCATTATTATAGCAATAAAGCAAAGATTCCTGGCTACTAAGGTGTAGCCCCTGTAGTGTATTCCCACTGGAATATCTTGCTTTTGACTGCATATAACTTCCAAAATCCTATTTCTTTCATTGAGAAAAATCACAGAAATCAGCGGAGGATGGAATAGAGCGATAATCCCACCAAATGACATCTGTGACTTCTTGTCACTGAAGGAGGGTTTGCTGTCCCAGGCTGGAATCTCCACTGTCTCCATTTCAGCAACTTCTCTCCTTATCTGCTCACTAACAACGGAAGGTAAATAGCTGACATCTTTTGTGAACTGACTAAATCATCACCCTTAAACCTTTAGACCTAACCTGCACGCTAAATAGAGATTGAGGCAATCACCTCAGTGACCATTAAATTACAAGATAGACTGTTCCTCCATTCAGCAGAACCACATGGTAACATTTCTGGATTTTCAACTGTGCCTTTTTTTTTTTTTTAATACATGGGAAAGAGAACTTAAAAGACGGTTTTAAAAGCACAGTTGATCCCTTTGTGTGCATATACTATGATTCAGCCTTTAATTATATGTCACACATTTTTATTTCTCCAACAGACTTTTGGTATGTGGGATGTAAGATGCTCTTGAGAGCAATCAGGGTTGCATGGAGAGCTCACGTGCTGGGCATGCTGGAGACTGTGAAATGAACGAGGTGGGGGACTGCAAGAAGACGAGGGAGCAACTCATAGCTGTAACAGTTGAGTGCTGACCTAGGAAACTAGATCTTGCATCTGTCTCAGCCACAGCATTCCTATCTGTTGCTAGGGAAGCTGCTTAAGCCAAACTATTAACAATAATTGTATGTCTTGCATAGTCTTGAGACCCTGTACCTGATTTACAGATGTGCTAGAAAGTTGCAAGTGGAGTTATTGGAGCAACACAAAGAAAGACTAAATTCTCTAAAATCGTAAGTTCTTTGAAAACTCTGTTTCAAGTTTTCTCCACCTGGGCACTCAAAATTAGTAAACATTTCTGACCTTAATTTCTTTCATCCCTAACTCTTGGTCTGTAAAAAGGGAATAATGGAATTTCCTCACTTACAGGGGTTGTGTAAAGAGAAACTAATGTTTATGAAGCATTCAAACACTAAAAAAGTCCACAAAGAAATTAGTATGTCTGGCTTTAGAGAACTACTTGAAAAGAGTGGCATTATCAAGGCATGGGGCCATAAAGTAAATGAGGCAGAGTTCCCATAGAAGGAAAAAAAATCATACATTTAAAACCCATATCATCGTACATATACCAAGCGACCTTAATTCTGGCACCTTCTAATTTACCGGATTTGAACTCTGCATTTTAATGATGGCTTGTGTGTGAGCAAGCATATTTGTAATATAGAGTAGGCTGAGCCTAATGCAGACGCTTTTTTACATTATACCATCTACTAACCCCCGAAAGAGCCTTGATAATTACAGTTTAACATTATTTACTAAGTTTTAAGACTTTCATAATCTGTATGAAGACAAGAACATGTTGTTATTATTTTCTGTATCAGTTTATGTCTTTGGAAGTGGGTAACTTGATGGGAGCTCTAGAACCTGTAAATCATTTTAGCACCAAAGATTTTCCTAATGGAAAGTTGCTTCTGGAAGATTTACAAGGCCTGTGCTGTTTTTCTCCAGTAATGATTACAGTACTAGATCTCTCCTGTGGGAATGCACGTTTTTTCAGTGTATTCACCCCTGGGGATGGGAGGGATTTTAAAGAATCTACTGATAGCACTGTGAATTGAAAAATATCTTTTTCACATACCTGCTAGCAGATATTAATATACATTTGGTGTCATGATAAAGTTAGCTTTGTGGATCATGAGGATGGTAGATTTTTGCATCACTTGTTCCACATGAATGGGGCCAGAATGGGGCTATTATTATGATTCTGCTTCTCTAATACCAAGGTTGGTATACTGTATCTAACACCTGAAGCTCCCTCCTGGTTTCACTGGAAGCCATTGCTTTCAGAGAGCCACTGCTGCTTCCAGACCTCTCTGATACGATGGCCTTTTACTCATAGGGAGTTAGCACCAAGGTCCCAGCTCCTGTGATGGGAAGTTCGATTTCCCTGAGTGTCCAGATCAACAGCAGTTTCCTTTGCAGCTCTACCACTATCACTAAGGGACCTGGAAGTCTTCAAATGTCTTCTGTATACCATGAATTACATCCGATTATTGCTAGAAAACCAAAAGCGCGTGAGGAGATAGATGCAATTGTAAGAACTGACCTCTTCCCAAAGTACAGAAAACAAACAAAACCAAACAAAAAGAGAGAGCGGTGAATGTGACTTTTTGGGGGAATGAGAACGTAAACTTGCCTTTTAACTTCGGCAACATTTTTTAAGGAGAAAGGGGAGTTTTGTCTTCAGAGCAAATCCTCTAACCTTCATTTAAGCAGCAAAAAATGACTGAGGTGGGCAAGATTACGAAGGTGACGCTCTGACAGACACTCTCCCATCCCTGCTAGGACAAAGGTTACGCTCTCTGCTTTTGTGTTTCCTGCCATTTTCTTCCAGACAGCCGAGCCGTTCCTTCAGAAAGGTCTCTTTGGTCTGGGGCCCCTGAAAGATCATATAATATCTTCGACAGGTTTGTGTTTCTTTTCTCTTTTCCCCCTTCCCCCCACGAAACCTGCTCTGCGCTTCTTTAAGGGCTTGAGGCCCGTAAGCTTGTAAAATTGTGGCAGCAGCAACAGCCTTGAAGAGGATACAATAACCGCTGTACGCCTGCGACGACAATGTCCTTAAGTATTTGCGCATGCTGGCTTAAGCCTGTCAGTTTTTGTAAGGGCTACCTGCTACAACGCACCTAATTAGCTTACTGGCTATTTGGAGACAGCTCTACTGGTTTTTCTATCATCCAGTCTTTATTAAGTGAGCTGTTGCTGAGACGAATAGGTTCTTTATAATGATGAGGTCCTTTTTACGCTTATTAGTCCTTAAAGCAAGCCTCTTCTTACAGAACAAAGTTCTCCCCCCCTCCTTGCTCTCTCTTTCTCTCTCTCTCTCTCTCTCTCTCTTTTTTTCTTTCTTAGGACTTACGGTGGGAGAAGTAAAGCAGCTTTTTTCTGCTGAAGTATTTTATTAAAAGTTTTAGTGGCTGCACTAAGAGCAAGGTGCCTGTGCCTTTAATCATTTTCATCTTTAAAACAGGAACCTTATATTTTCACATCTTCAGCTGTCCCAGAGGGCAGCTAGGCCATCTTTAACAACATTAATTTCTCTTTATGACAGGACTAGTGCTGCCCCAGGTCTTCAGAACTGCCTAAAATGTCTGGAAAAGTAGATAATGAAGAGGATATTAGAATTGTAAACAAGAACAATTTGGTAATAAAAACCATATATTTTCTCCATAGGACTTTGGGCTTAATACTGCAGCAGCAAAAGTGTCACGAGTCATAATTTGTTGATGGCCACTGTACATTAGTTACTGTAGGAGCATGTGCATAAAGGGCAAGAACAATTGGCTTTGCATTAAAGAACATCTAAGATGGGTAATTCTAATTTTCTTGTTTTGATTAATCCCTTTTGTTTGTTTTTATCACAGCGCAGTTGTATAAAAAATCTTACATGTTACGTGCCGTGAATCCTGCAGCTGGTTAGGCAAGGCTGCTTTCCATATCTGGAAACGCTGGGCAGATACCTCAGCCGATCTGTTTGCCTGAGCTGGAGCACCCCCCTGCCCCAGGAATTAGCCTAACCTGCACAATGCTTCAGTGTGGCACAGATCCCTGAAGAGAAAGCCAATGAAAGACTGAAATGCTGGTATCTTTTCTGGGATGATTATGTATTATACTAGCTGCACATCCCTGCCTCTGTCTACCCATACATCCTTTATTGCTGACAGGGTTTATGAGCGTAATATGATGGAGTAAGAAACAGTAGATTTTTCCCAAGGAGCCGGGCACAGCTCTTTGTCCGCAGAGAACGTGGGAGGGAAGTATAAAATGGTAAGCATTGTAGTCTGCAGATGTCATAAACAGGGCTATCTTTTCATCTTAAGGTGCACAGCCACTGAGAAAGTTCATGCTATACTTAACCTTTGGCCCTCTGCTGATCTTTTGTTGCTCTGCATTAGTGTGCTGAAATCTGAAAACATAATCCTTACAATACCTACCACCTTTCAGTAGTCTGGTTTTCCTTTATAATTTGCATCTGCCATTGTTAGCAGCCCGAACAGTCCGGCTTCCGCCACCCAGGCACCAGATTTTAGATTAACTGGATTAGAACAAAACAAAAAGAAAAGAAAAAAAAAATCCCAGACCATACTGAGATATTTCATTTTAGGTGACAGCATCATTGCGTGTTTCCCGTTAGAAAGTTATAGGCTTAATCAGTTGTCTTGTTTACTGGGAGTATGCAGTATTTCAACACTAAATGTTTTAAGCTAATTGGTCCAATACAAAGGTATCACATTATGCAGTTTAGTGGGTAAAATAAATTGGCTACATTTTCTGAGACTCTTTTCAGAGTATGTGCATTTCTGTTTCCCTTCTCCCCTCCCTCCCACCCCCAATCAGCAGGACAACAGCTTTTCTGTCATTAATTCAACATCAAATTATTTCCTTGGTGAATCAGTCCCGAGGCTAATGAGCTGCCTGCACTTGCATTTTGCTTCCTTGTTTTTAGCGGAGTTTCGGAGGAGAGCGTATCACTTTAAGGCTTGGTGGTGATAGTGGGATCATTCCCCAGACAGGGTTCACTCAGCCTTGATACAAACTGAAAGGCTAAAATGAGCACTCTTCTATTATTTAGGCACCTGTCCAGAGGTTGGAAGAAATCCTACTTGTGCAGATTTAGCTAAAGAAAGCAGAGATAACCACCTTTCCTTCTGTGTCTAATAAGATGTGAAAGGGGAGAAATAATGAGTATTACGCTGTATTTCTCATGTAAAGGGCTGAGAAACAATACTCTCTGAACACTGGCAGTGATTCCAGTCATTTTCAAATGAAAAGGACTATTTGTTTCCAAATTACACCAGCCACTGGAATGCATACATATGTGGCCCCAAAATCCTCGTTTTGTGAAGTAAAATTACCTTTCAGTAATTTAGTCACTGCAGGCTTTCCCCTGCTGACTGGACAGGAGCTATCAGATAGCTTGCAGCTGCAGGCTGAAACGGGACCATTTTTTTTTCCGGACAGGCAGTTAGTTAGTAGAGCCATCAGTGTGGCATCTGTCATCCCGCTAGGCCCAAATTGTTTTCTATGATGGAT